AACTACTGTGTCCAGGTTCACTCTAAGAATGGAAACTGCAAACTGACTCCCATTGGCTCTCCCACCCCACCCCACCCAAAAAGTGTACCCTACAAGCACTGCCTCCCACCAGGTGACCCTACTCCTGAGTCCCCAAGCTCCTGAGGGGCATGCAAGGAGCGGGCACCCGCCCTGGAGAGGGGGGGGCACTCCAGCAGGCTCTGTCCAAAGAAATGTTCTCTCTTCATTCTGGCCTTTCTTTCAGGGACTGCACTGCACACAGGCTGGGGGGAGGGAGCTGGGCTAATGACTCCACAAGCCCTTTCCAGGCATTTCCTCCCCAAATTCGGAAAGTGGAGAGTACCTCCTGGTACTTTGAGAGAAGTTTCCTCTTGGGGCCCTGGCCGGAGCTGAGACAAACAGCGTCCTAGAATGGAGGCCCAGGGTCAGGGCCCCCCCTGGCTTAGAAGGGAGGAGGAGGAAGAAACAGCTGTGGTTCCTAAAGGAATGTCCTCCATAGGTGGGGATGGGAGAACAGGCCAGAAGCAGGGCCCTGGGTGCAGCTGTTGGGGAGGGGAGACCCTGGACGTTCCACCGGGGCCTGTGTGGGGTGCACTGGGACCCCACTGCCTGCAACAGCAGTGTGGCCTGGGGGCTCTGGGGGCTCAGAGAGGCAGGGTCACACCCCCTGGCTGTTCTGCCTTCCACCTCCCGTGAGGACCCTGAGATTTCAGAGAGCAGGGGCTCTGCGGTGGGGTGCTGGGCAGGGCAAGGTTGCCAGGCCCCACCCTGAGCCATCGCCCTTCCTGCTCTGGTGGGCAGTGTCCCTGCCTTGGGAGGGGAGGGGAGACCCACACTGTTGGTCCTGGAGGCCAAGGGTTTCATACCTGCCCCTCCCAGGCTATTGCGAGCTCAGGCATGGAAATAGGAACTGTGAGTAATCAACTTGCTGACAGATTTAAAAAATAATCATGCATGTCACACCCATTGGACCAGCAGAAAATTACAAAGTCTGATGCTACCAAGTGTGGCCAGGATGAGGGACAACGGGGACTTTCATCTGCTGCTGGTGGGAGTCGGGAAGGTCCAGGGTTAGCCCGAAGCTTGTACAATTCGGGGACTTTTTTTATAAAAGAATAAAAAATGAGTCTGAGTCTTGGAAGGGGCCTGAGCAAGTGGGTATCCTGAGCTTAATTAAGCTTCATAAGCTTCCTAGTGACTCCGCTCCCGGGCTGTGGAAATTGGAATAACCCTTTTGGACAGCAATGTGGTAACTCTGGGAAGATGAAGATGTGCCTTTCCTATGACCCAGCGAGTCCAATCCTCTGTGTGTCCCCCAAGAAATTCCCAACATGTCACCACAGAGGCAAATACAAGAATGTTCTTTGGCCAGGCCGTCTGCAACAGCAAAAAGCCACAACTGGAAATAGCGAAATGTCCATCATCAGAAGAATGGATAAACAGTGTCAACGTGTATAAACCTCAACACCGTTGCATGGAAAGCACACTGCAGAAGGACATGACAGGACGACACTATTTCCATGAAGTGTGAAAACACAGAAAACAGCGCCTGTGGAGCTCACAGGCAGTCAGGGCGCAGGGAAGGGCTGACCCTGCCTGGGCGTCAGGACCACCACATCCAGCCCGAGGCTCCTGAGGATGGAGGGAGGGGAGTAAGACAGCGGCACATCCAGGGCTTAGAAGCCTCCTGAAAAGCTTATTTCCCTCATACTAAAAGTCAGTAAGGCAAAATATTAAGATTTGACAAAGCTGAGTGATAATTACGTGGGTACCCCTTAAAGTACTATATATGCTTTTCTGTAATATTTGAAATATTTTTTTTTGTTTTCTTAAAAATTGAAGAGAAGTTCACATAACATCAAACTAACCGTTTTAAATTGCCCAGTTCAATGGAATTTAACACATTCACAATGTTGTGCGGCTGCCACCTCTATCTAATCCCAAACATTTCCATCCCCTAAAAGGAAACCCCGCACCCATTACGCAGCTGCTCCCCATTCCCCTCCTCCCAGCCCCTGGCAAACCACCAGTTTGTGCTCTGTCTCTGTGGATTTGCCCATTCTGGGTATTTTATATGAATATAATCACACAGTATGTGACCCTCGTTGTCTGGCTCCTTTTACTCAGCACAGTGTTTCCACCTGTGTGGAATGTCTCGGTGCTTCCTCCCTTTCTAGGGCTGCATAATATTCCACTGTGTGAATATGTCACAGTTTGTCCATTCATCCATTCAGGGGACATTTCTGCTCTTTCCACCTGCTGGTTACTGTGAATAGAGCTGCTATGAACACGCATGTACACGTACCTATTCAGGTCCCTGCTTCAATCCTTTTCATTATAAACCTAGACATGGAATTGCTGGGTCATATGGTCATTTTTTTGAGGAGCCACCAAACTGATTTCAACAGCAGATGAACCATTTCACATTCCCACCAGCAATGTGTGAGGGCTCCAATTGCTCCACATCCTGGCCCGCACTTGCTCTCTTCCGGTTTTTTGATAATAGCCACCCTAAGGTCATGTGAAATGATACCTCAATGTGGTTTTCATTTCATTTCCCTAACGACCGATGATATTGAACATCTTTTCATGTGCTTATTGGCCATTCATTTATCCTCTTTGGAGAAATGTCTATTCCAGTCTTTTGCCCATTTTCTAACTGGCTTGTTTACCTTTTTGTTGTTACCTTGTACTAGTCCATAACTTAAAAAAAACTCCCAGGGTGACCAGGGCTGCCTTGAGCCCTTTCATTCTCTGCTCTTACACACCAAGGCACATTCAGCTTCGTATGTACAAAGTGTGCAGAGGAAACTTAAAGGACGGGTGTCTGCTTTCTTTTCCATTCTCCCTGCTCCCTGGGCCCCATTCGCAATCTAGAGAGGAAGAAAGAGATTGGAGGTGAAAACAGAGGCATCCAGAGCCTCTCAGGAAGTCACAGGAGGAACAGGGGCTGAAGTGGAGGAGTAAAAACAACTTCTAGGACAGCTGAGAGGGAAGTGCTCTGGGCAAGGGCAATTATTTATTTTTAATTATAATAATTAAAGAATTATTTATTATTATCTAGAAGCCGCTAATATGGCAGGTCACAAAGCCGCCCTGGAGGAGAAAGTCTCCACTAATCCAGGGCTTTGAGGTTTCCCACGCCCTGCTCTCTCCTTTCACTTGGTGGATGGGGGGGGACCCTCCTGTCCTCTCCCCAACAGAACATCTGCCTGGCTGGGCTGTCCCTCCCCCAGGACCACTCCTTCCTCTGGGCTGGGACACCAAGAGGAGGCAGTGGGCACTGGGAGGCCCTCCTTTCTGTGAACCCAGGTCCCCCACACCTCATCTCATGCTGCCACCTGAGCCAGCTCTTGTGAAGGCAAGAGAAGGAGGTGCCCCAGAGTCCTCTGCATGAAGCCCAGCTAACACCTTCTCATGATTCTTGTCACAGTGCTCCCCAAACAGCTGCAAAGGCAGAGGAAGCCCCTCATTAGGACAATGGAAGAGATGCTAAGAGGACCTTTTGCTGCTTAAAATCTCTCTGCCCATCACGGCTCACCATCAGTCACCATCTCTTTTGGTCATGAATCTGCTTTCGTAAACACAGTGGCCTCTAAAGGAACCACCACCACTCATCCCGGGTCCTGGGCGCTGTGCGCTCACCTTCAGACGTCCAGCCTCAGGCAAGCACAGGCCAAGTGCTGAAGAGACGCACCCAGAGGAGCCACTTGGGGAAAGAATGTCCCAGTGAGTGCAAGCCCCTCCCCACTCTGGGCCTGGGTGTTCCTATCTTTAAATGGTGGGGCTGGGCGCAGTGGTGTCCAGGGTTTCTTCTACATGTCACTTCCTTGACCCTGGCTGGCCCCAGGACTTGACGTCACTCTGGATACACGCAGGTGTGAGCTCAACTCAACCCTCATAAAAGAAGTGATATGGTGCCACCAAGCAACCTTGGTCCCCTTCACCCTTTCCCCAAACCCTCCATGGATGACAGAACCTGCTCCCTTTGCTGGTCACACCCTCCCGCCTCCAATGAGGCAACAAGAAGCTGGGTCCTGTTTTTAAATAGTCAGGTTTGGACAAACTCTTTTCCAATCAACTCTTCTGCAGCAGTGGTGCTGGGAAGGGAGTCTTGGTGGCTGCATCACTGGGCGCCCACAGAACACACACAGCAGCCCCTCCCAGGTAAGGGACAGTGGCCCCTGGGGAGTGTAGGCTGAGGGAGGTCTGCAGCCTAAGGACATAGGGAGCCCTTTACCAGGAGCCCAGGGTAGGAAGTGCTTTCCTCCAGTTACCAGTGGAGCTGTGGGGCTCCAGCCTCAGGAGGGACCAACCGAAGGTACAGGGGCCCTTAGGACAGCTGAGGGTCAGCCAAGGCAGGGGACCTCTCTCAGCAGTCCCTCCTCTCCCCCTACTCCACACACAGGGCAGAATGACTGTGGTAGAGCAAACCAAGGCCTGTTTTATTATTTCCAGATCAAAGTTGTCACAAAAACATTTTTTGTCAGAAACGTTCAAAGGCCAGAAGAGAATCATCTGGATTCAGCTCCTCCTAGGACACAAACCCAGTCCCCAAACCTGGGTTAGTGATGCTTAGGCTTCTTGTGCTGATTTTTGTAAAAGAAATCCTAACCCTGGACAAAGTTGCGCACCTTTACAAGGACGTGGCTCTCCTATAAGGGCTTCCTCTGTGCGGCCCCTGGGAAGAGGGTCGGGGCACAGCTATGGAACCAGCGCGAAACGGAAGGACGGACCCTGGCCCACTTCCAACAACTGACCCATGCTGTGAATTTGGTTTTTCCACTGAATTCCTGGAGACCATTTCCCTCATTGTCATTGGTCTAGAAGGAGCCAAACGACTGGGCTGAGGGAGACTTTTCTCACCCTGGCCCCGCCATCCCGACGCTCCCGGACCCGGCAACTTGTGAATCTGATCCCGATGGCTGTGCGGAGTCCCCGCGACAGCGAGCGGCACAGCCCATCTGGCCCCCTCCCCGGCTCGGGCGCCAGCCACTCACAAGCTCAAAGATGAAGAGCACGTCGGGGCAGGTGCGGAAAACTTCGCTACCTCTGGGCAAGCGCCATCCAGGCATGCTGGCGTGGCCTCGGGAAAGGACGCGCGACTCCGGCTCCCCTCTAACCGCTTTTGCTCAGCGGAGCCCAGTGGCCCGGGCGCTCCCGCAGGCGGGTTAAGAGGAGAGGCGCCTAGGACCCAGGAGGGAGGAGCCCTCGCCGCCGCCCGCCCCGCCCCCTCCCAGCCAGCCCTGCGGCCCCAAGAGAGCTGGCCGGAGTACCTTGGGCGCCGCCCTGAACCACCCGAGGGCGAACAGTGGGCTAGCCGAGCTAGGGGCGGGGATCTGACTCCTGCGTCCCACCTCCGGGCGCCATCTCCCGTGAGGAGCAGGAAAAGTCACTTTGACTAAGAGCTTCGGACACTTTGCCCTCTTCGGAGGGGATCACCATCCCTTAAGAATGAGAACCCTCACTAACTAGACTCCCAAAGTTGCCCACCTCAGCACTGCTCAGGTGACCATTGTTTTAACTGTTCTTAAGTTGGGTGTCCTTCATCTTTCACAGGGTGTGTTAACTTGCGCGCGACCTCACCGTCCGGGCTCGCGGTGGGACGAGCTCCTGGTCCTGCCCGCAGCTGCAGGCTGGGGGTCTGCAGGGGCGTTGTTGGGACCGGCTCTGGTCACCACCCCTTCTCCCCGCGCCTTCACAGCGCCTGGAACTCTGCACCCACAGTCCGCTCCACTGGGTGCTGGAGCTTCCGTCTGTCCGTGTGAGGGGAGGAGGCTGCTCTCAGCCCTGCCAGCCCCGGAGGAGGGCGGTGGAGGCGGCGCTGGGCCCGATCTGCATTGAATCCAAGGGACAGGAAGGGCCTCCTAGAGCAGATCCCTGCCCTTCTCTCAGAGGGGCGGCCCTGCGCCTCCGCGGTGGGAGGACTCCCCTCCCCACGTCCTTCACTACCTGTTGCTGATGGCTTTTTGTTTTCTGGACCGAAATTTCTTTATTCTTTTTTGACTGTATTTTCTAAAAGTATCATCACACTCCAGGAGTCTGCCTCTTTATAGTGATGTAGACACGAGTACTGAGTTTTCTCCTACAGTGCTGCAGCGAAAATCTGTTGGAAGTCAGGGCAGCCCCAGCTCAGACTCCCCAGTGCTTCTGTGGCTGCACCCACAGCCCCAGCAGGCACAGACCCCTCTCTCCTGTGGGACCCTCACCCTTTCCCTCTAGACAGCTCTGTTTCCTTCCCAGTCCCTGTGGAGAGAAGTCAATTCCTGGACACATTTTCAAAACAACAACAATGACAAAACCCATGCCCATGAGCTTTCCATTCTGCCCACTTACATGGAGCGACTAAACATTTGGAATGAGAACATCCCACTGCATCTCTGTGAGCTTCCTTGGGGCTGCAGGTCTTGGTGGCCTGAGACCCAAGGTGTCCATCTCCTTCCTCCTAAGGAGACTCTGGTACGGACAAGCCACAACTGGCAGGAGGTGAGATAACCCTCAAGCAAATCCATCCAAAGACGTTTGGCAATTTCTCTGTCAGTACTCACCAACTAAACACACAAAGATCTTGGGGCAGCCCCATGGCCTAGTGGTTAAGTTCAGCGCACTCAGCTTCTGTGGCCTGGGTTCAGTTCCCAGGTGCTGACCTACACCACTCACGATGTGGCAACAACTCACATACACTGATGCGGGGTCGGTGAGCCAAGGAGTCGAAAGAAAGATTTCTTAGACTCTTAAGATCTGACAGTAGTGCTCTTTTACTTAGAGAATAGTATAGAATAGCATGGGGACAGGACCCATGAGCAGTCAGAGCTTCTGCTGCCACTTCTGCTGCAAAGTTGGGTGGAGAGTAAGGTTAAATTTAAGGCATAGGTATGTGAGTTATTTCTTTACAAGACAAAGAATATGTAAAAAAGTTAAAATGATGTCTGTGCCCTTATGGTCTGGCCATTTGGTCCAGGCATTTGGCTGTCCCACAAATTTTAGATAAGAATCAAACCAGATTGAGTAAATGGCAGAAGTCACCGCTTGAATTTTATCCTCAGCTAAAGACAAAGGAGGATTTGGGGGGGGGGGGGGGTCAGTTACATGAGGTTGCCAGACATTAAACAACTTAAATTCCTGCCTCTGGCATTGATTAAGAGTTTCTAGAGATAAGGCCATCCCCCTACTTCCTGGCACAGAGAGGGAGGCATCTTCACAGATAGAGGTTTCCCTTAGAAATGTAACTGTTTCTCAACAAAGGGACAAGCAAATTCCACTCCTTGGAGCCTGCTTCTCATCTGTAGTTTTAAAAGTAACCAGCCTAAAAATCCTCATTTAAAATTAAGCAGCCTAAAAATCCTCATCATACACAATACGGGAAGACTGGCACAGATATTAGGCCAGGATGAATCTTCTTCAGAAACACACACACAAAGATCTTCTCAACACTTAATAATCTCTTCTCTTGGCCTGGAAGTTTTCTGAGTGTTCGTTTTTTGGTTGGGTTTTCTGCTGGCTGTTTCAAACCTTTGTTGCTAAATTCCTCAGGCTTGGGCTCCTGACTCTGGGGAGAAGGCGCAGCTCCCTGGTGCAGCCCAGTGAGGCTGATGGGCTCCAGCCTCCTTTGATGAGGCCCAAGAGCCACAAGGATTTAGGAGGGGCCCTTTCTCTGTGACCCTCATCTCACCTGCCATCTTTGCTTGATGGTCCTTCTCCTGACCACTCTCTACCCTCTGCAGG